GCACAGGGAAGCTCAGGCTCCTCCCAGGGCAACACAACACATCTACAGCAGAAGTGGCATCAGAGCTTGCAGGTTTCTCTTCTCTAAAGTCCAAATAACTAAACAGAGTGCTCTTTCAAAAGTGGGTTAAAATGGCATCAGATTGCAGTATGTTACTCTAAGCACATCCACTGTGTTAACATCTCGGTCATGGTACCCGGAAAGGATGCCAGAGCCAGGGAGAATCAACTCTATGCGATTAACTTGAAATGTCAAGGGTGAAGCTAGTGTGCTGTCAGTTAGCAAAAATCACCTGGAGGGGCTTTGTCAAGTTACTGAAATTCAAACATTGAGGCTGGTGATATACTGTAATAGAATATACATTTTTTTTTTCTTAAGACATAAATATAGGTTTTTAGCATGTGCTTTGACTCTAAATGAGTCTTTTCAAACTTTAGAACTCTGAACAACTATAACCAGATGTGGTTTATGCTTGCAAATGTCTTTTTTTCTTACATTATGAACAAAGAAAAATATGAGATCAGAGAAGAAAAAAATAAACCTAACATTCTGTGATCTGATAGTACTCCATGTCTAGCCAATTTTTTTCCCCAATACAAACATCTCTCTTGCATAGCAAGTGTGTATCAGTCCTTCTAAAAAAAAAAAAAAAAAAAAAAAAAAAAAAAGAAAAAAAGATTAAAATTGGCTTGCCTTTGTAAGATGAGTTCCCCTAGTTAATGTGAACAAATGGGTAAAGTCTAGTGCAGTCAGAACATCTTGGTAATTGTCCAGGTTGTGGATTCCTTAACAAGGTACTGCTCATCTTTTGCATCCTTGGAAATTCTCATGTTCATATCTGGATAATGTTGCAGAGACTTTCCGCTGCACTTACTGCAATGCTGAAGTAGAGGAAGATGCCTCAGCCCTTCCCAAGTGTGACGCTCGAACTTTGTTAGCAAAATTCAATGAGCAGATTGAACCCATCTTTGTGCTACTGCGTGAAACTGAAGATATTGTTCTGCCGTACGACTTGCTGGAGCCTCAGCCAACAGAAATACCAGAGTTATCAGAAAGGTATAAACATAACCCCAGGACTTCTGACCATACAAAACCCTACAACAACTCTCCAGTTCTAAAATCTTTGAAATACTCATTTTGCAACCTGCTTCCTGCTCTATTTTACTTTCTTCAGTACTGTCAGCTGCTTAATAAAGAAGCCTATAATACCTAAAGCATTCTAAATTATTGTTATGCATTTATAGTTTTATTTTTGCTACCTTTTTTGTTTTAAGGAGTAATTTTACAGACTTCTCCTTTGGCTAATAGGTTAATAGACCTTCCTATGAGAAAGTAATGTTTCTGTATCAGTGTGCTTCATCCAGGGGTGCACTACTAAAGACCACGCAAAAAACAACGCTTCAGAATCACTTGTCTCTATGATGAGGCAATGCAAATTGTTTTAATACAGAGCACTCGTTAAAGCTTGTCTCCTGACAAAATATGCTTTTCCTTTTTTTGTTTTTGTTGGGGTTTTTTTACTGGGAACTGAGTGGGGAGGGGATCTTGCCTGTATTTAACCTGTCCAAAAATGGGTGACCTTTCATCCAGCTTTGATCAGAAGGTGGGCTCAAGTGTGCTGGAATCCTGCAGCCAACCTGAAAAATGGGCCAACAGAAGTTCCTCTTCTGGCAATATGTACACCCAAAACTTAGTTATTGATGTCCAAGACTCTGAGTTCAAGAAGAAAACAAGAGAAAAAGCAACTAGAGAGCAACCTATCTGGATGTCACAGAGCACTGTGGAAGGAGCAACAACAGCCACCAACAATAGCATTGGTAAGTTTTCAGCATTAGCAAATACTTAAATTCAGCAGCATTACTGCACTTAAATATAGCTTTCCTACTGAAAATGTAATGAGCTTGGTTTAGAATGTAGAGTAATGGTTTAGTTCTGCACTAGTGCCTACCAGATCTTAGTTTCTAAAAACTAGTCTTTAGACTGATTTAGGTAGTATTCCTAAAGCCAGAGGTCAGGCACTACGTCCTGAAATTTTTGGCTCTAACACTGCAGTAACATTAGTGGTAATCTTTTAAAGTGGAAACTCTCTCCACTTTAAAGAGAACGCTCAAGTGTGGTTAAAAAAGATTCAGAGTAGAAACATGGGGTGCCTGTGGTAAATGTAAACTATTAATACCTCTAACAATTATTATTGTGTATTAGGAGTAAATGCTTCTGAAGAAACTGAAGAAAGTGCTAAAGAAACTGTCAGTGATAATGAAATCATCAAGACTCTTCTGATCCATGAATCCAAGTCATTGCCTAGCACAGATCAGGCTCCTGTTGGCAAAAGCAAACTACCTAAATCAGGCAGTGATACCAGTGAGTCTGAAGAAGATCC